TATAATAGTGATGTAATTTTTTTTTTAAAAGTCTGTTTTATTACATGTATTAGAAAAAAAGTATTTTATTTGATTTTTAAATAAAAAAATAAATTTATATAAAATAATATTAAATATGTTAATATAGTGCTAAAAGTGAATTTTTGTGTTGCTTTTTATTATACATTTTATATCAAGTATATAATGTTAATTATAGATTATATTTAAATTTTTTGATATATCTAATAATGATGAATTATATAAGAGTAGATAATTTTTTTTTTAATTTCTCTCCACGTGATTCAATATTTAAATTTAAAATATCTAAAAATTTAAAATTATTAATTATTAAATCACCCTCATGAACTATATATGTTGTGTGTATAAATAAATATAAAGATGCATTTAAAAAAGTGGAAATGTTGAGCTGTAAACATTTGTAAGGAAGGGAGAGGGATGAGGACTAACGGTTACTTTCAGCTTTGGCCGGTACCTTAAGGGGGCATTTTCGGAACACAAAAAAAGTTAACGGAACTTTCTTTGTATATAAATAAATTCAACATCTAATAGAACCTCCAAGAGAACCAAAGAGCTAATCTTCAAAGCAGTGAGCTTTAGTGACTTAGTGGGCAGCAGCAGGGGGCCTAAATTCTCACTGCTTTTTTTCCTCTCTCTCTCTCTTTGTCTCTCTTTCATATTTTCTTCACCCATCAAACTCTCTCTTCATCTCTTCTTTTCAATAAATTCTTTGATTCTTTATCTCTTTGTTTTCTTTTTGTTTCTGGGTCCTTTGATTTATTTACATTCAACAAGGAAAAAGCTTTGGTACTGGGACTGGGAGTAGCTTTTTCTCTGTTCTTCACTGGGTTTCACCGATTCTTTGATTCATTTAGTAAATTCTCATCTGGGTTTATTTGAGGTAAAGTAAAGGAGGAATCTTGGAAGGGTTCAAGCCATGGAAGCTCCAAAACCAGAAGAAATAAGTCACCCACCAATGGACCAGCTTCAGGGGTTAGAGTACTGCATTGACTCAAATCCATCATGGGGTGTGTTGTTTTTTTGTCTTCTGTCAGCCCAGAATCTCCATATCATTGATTAGATTCATCTTTTGCAATATTTTCCTTTTGTTTGTTATGTATTTGTAACTATTTCTGTGTCTTTTGCATCTGCAAGCAGGGGAGGCTATAGCTTTGGGCTTTCAGCATTACATTCTGGCCTTAGGGACTGCTGTGATGATCCCTTCATTTCTTGTTCCTCTCATGGGAGGCTCTGATGTAAGTCGATTTCATTTCAAGTACATAATCGTGCACTTAAATTACATATCTACTTTTAGAAATTTTTAGCCTTTTTCTTCAATTGGAAATCGATTATTTTTCACTAGATTCTTCCCATTCTTAAGAGGCATGTTCATGTTTTCTGATTTCACATGTTGACATGAACACCTGTAACTGAGTTTTTGGGTTTTTTCTTGTGTCTATTTGTTGATTCAGCATGATAAAGTGAGGGTGGTACAGACTGTACTGTTTGTTGAGGGGATAAATACACTTCTACAAACACTGTTTGGGACCCGACTGCCTACCGTGATTGGGGGGTCCTATGCATTCATGGTTCCCATTATATCAATAATTCATGATTCTTCACTCACGAGGATCGAGGATGCTGAATTGGTTAGTACAATTCTGTGATCCCATTTTCAATCTTTAGTTCTGTCATTGTTGAAAATCCAAACAAAAGTGTTCTTGAGGTCAATCTTTGTGTACCCCACTTGTCCATGTGGCTTTACTTTTCTTTATTAAACAAATCCACCATGGACTTTAAGAATGCTGAGGGGCATCCCATTTTCCAAATGCATGTCAGATCTAGTGCAATCCTGCTTAATCTAACTGTCTTTACTAATGTTGGATGCATTTGCATACATAATCTTGAATACAAAGACCTTATCAACAAGACGCACAAAGCTTGATTTATATTTTTTAATTAACATTTTTATCCCTTTACAAATGATAACTCTCCTCTATTTTGATGGTATTTCTTATATGTTTATGTAGAGATTTCATAATACCATGAGAGCCGTCCAAGGTGCATTAATAGTAGCTTCAAGCATACAAATTATTTTGGGATACAGTCAGATGTGGGCCATTTGCTCCAGGTACCAAATGCGTATGTTAGATGAAGCTCAAGCCTCAAAATCCTAAAAACAAATTCAGCATTGTTTACTTTATATTGCTTAAACCTTTTTGCCTTATCAGGTTCTTCAGTCCACTTGGAATGGTTCCAGTTATTACATTGGTGGGTTTTGGCCTGTTCGATAGAGGGTTCCCAGTGGTATAATAACAACTATGATGCACTTTGTTGAATTCTTACATGAGAACTTCCTTCTTTTATCATATCATTCATGCAGTTTAACATTGCTTCCTGACGATCTACCAGCTTGGTCGATGTGTGGAGATTGGCATCCCAATGCTTGTCCTATTTGTTGCGTTCTCCCAGGTATTACTCTCTCCCTGTTCCATAATGCCCTTGGTCTTCCCTATTCCCAGGCTGCATGAATTCAGTAGATATGTGTAATTTAATGTTTCATTTTTCTGTTACAAACAGTACCTGAAAAGTTTTCGGTTTAGACAACTGCCAATATTGGAGCGGTTTGCTCTCCTCATATCAATCACAGTGATATGGGCATATGCACACCTCTTGACTGCTAGTGGTGCATACAGACATCGTCCAGAATTAACTCAGATAAATTGCAGAACTGACAAGGCCAACCTCATTTCTTCTGCTCCATGGTTTGTGTTTCTTATCAGTTGGATATTGTTTACACCACAAAATTATTGCAGTTTTTCAATTCAATCAAATTCTCAGTACCTTACTGCATTGGCTGTGAAATCTGTTGTAATCAGGATAAAGATCCCATATCCTCTTCAGTGGGGTGCTCCTACCTTTGGTGCTGGTCACGCATTTGGAATGATGGCAGCTGTGTTTGTCTCCTTGATTGAGGTAGTTCTCATAAAAACTATAGAAGAAATTAAAGAAATGATTATAGATTAGAGAACTAATGTTTGCTCGGGCAGTCAACTGCTGCTTACAAGGCTGCCTCGCGTCTAGCTAGTGCCACGCCACCCCCAGCTCATGTTCTTAGCCGTGGTATTGGCTGGCAGGGTATTGGGATCCTTCTAAATGGTCTGTTTGGAACAGTGAGTGGCTCCTCAGTCTCTGTGTAAGCATCTGTACTCCCTTTCTTCTTGCTTTTAAGTTGTCATATTACACAACCCTACTAATTTGAGGAAGAAAAACAGTGAAAATGTAGGGCTTCTTGGAAGCACTCGTGTTGGAAGTCGCAGGGTCATTCAAATCTCAGCTGGATTTATGATATTCTTCTCGATGTTAGGTGACTGTCAAGTTACTAATTAGAACTTTATCTGTATAACATCTCCCATTGTTCAAGATCAAAAAAAAAAAAAACACCTACTAATGGATTGCCCCCAATGGGGTTTTTTTATATAAAAAAAAAATACAAAAAATGATATTCGAACTTCACACCTTTATTAAGATGAGATAGTTTTTAATAAGGCCAGAGTGGTCATTTGGGCCATAAGGACTTCTTGGCCCAAAGGATTTAATAGTGAAGAAAAGAAAAAAAAACATAGATCGGTGACTTGGTGAGTTAGTGTGGGCAATTCATGATATGGGTTGGCTCAATAGGTCTAATAAGTAAATTTGATAAGATGGGCTTAATCCAGCCCAA